TTACAAGTTAACCTAACTCACGTGTGTCTTTGAAAGGCTGGATTACCCTGATAGAAGGCGAACGACCATAGGGGGAAACTGCAGACTCCAGACAGAGAGGCCCAGCCATTGTTTTTAAACCCAGCACCTTTTTCCTCTGAGACAACAGTGCAAACCACCACCCCACCGACTGCAAACGTTCACATTACACAAGTAGATATGATAAATATAAAATGTTAAAAAAAAAATAAATAGTGATGGCATGTTAATATAGGACGTGTAATATTATAATAAATAGTAATAACTCTCTCGTAAGCTACACTTCTGTCTTTTTGGTTAAAATTTAGCTCAAACAATCAAACAACAAAACACACGAGTTGAATCGGGATTCGGCTTTTCTGTACACCTCGTCACGCCACGCCCACTGACATCATCAGCACTCGCCGGGAAAGCATGGCGACATGACTGTCTAGTATATAAATTTCTGCGCCTTTTGGACCTTTATATCGTCTTTTGTGGAATTACAGTGCATTTAATGGGCTTTATTTCCAATTTTTTTATTGTTCAGTTTTGTTGCTTTTTCTCGTCAGCCGACCGTTGGACACTTGCGAGCCGGTTAAGTATTTAAAATGCAGGCTGTGAAGGTCGCCCATCTGGCTTTGGTAGCGTCCAGAGCTCTCGGATCAAGAAGATTGTGTTGCTGTGAGCTTTTTAAAGCGTCGGCTTGGCTTCGATCTCTCGGTCAGAGTCGCTTCTGTCAGACTGGAGCAGAGACCGCGGTCATTCGTGTTCCCCGGTACCTGCAGAGACGCATTGAAAACGTGAAGGAAATTCGAAGCAAAAGCAAGATCAACACCATCAAAGCTGGAAAGCTCCTCATCCAGAGCAAGAACCCAGCTCTGAACCAGTCTGCCGGATACATCCTGGGAAAATTCGAGCAGCCTTCTCTTTGCTCTAAAGGATGGAAACATAACAAATCATTCGGTGACTATTTCAGCATCAACAACGTCAGGGCTGTTGCACCTTACGTTGCTGAAAACGGGAATGAGGACGCTGAACAGAAACCGCTAGCCACTTTTAATAATCTCCACATCTGCAAGGAGCTGGTGGAGACTTTAGAGACTCTCAGTATTAAACATCCCACCACTGTGCAGCTGCAGACCATCCCCAAAGTCATGAGAGGTCACAATGTACTCTGTGCTGCTGAGACTGGCAGCGGGAAGACGCTGAGTTATCTCCTACCTGTTATTCACAGACTGCAGGCTGATAGGGAGTCTGAAAGTTACTCTGAGAGTGCACACAAGATATGCACTGTGGTTCTTGTGCCTTCAAGAGAGCTGGCAGAGCAAGTGGCAGCTGTGTCCAGGACTCTGTGTGCGCCATTTGGTTTCGTTACAAGGACCATTGGAGGAGGACGAGGTGTGGGACACATCAAGACAGTCTTCAGGAGGGATCATCCGGATATTTTAGTGGCTACGCCAGGTGCTCTGGTCAAGGCCCTGCGGAGGCGTTGTCTGGATTTGAGTGAGCTGGGGTTCTTTGTGGTTGATGAGGCTGACACAATGTTCGACCCCAGCTTTTCTGACATGCTGGAGAACATCCTGCTCCACGTCAACGTTGCTAGTGATCCCAAGGAAACACGTGGCCTGGGTCACAAAGCACAGCTCCTCGTGGTTGGGGCAACCTTCCCAGGCGGTGTGGGTGACGTGCTCAGCAAGGTGACAGATCTTGGAAAAATAGTTATTATTAGGAGCAAGATGCTGCACTTTCTTATGCCCCATGTTAAACAGACATTCCTGAAGGTAAAAGGTGCCGACAAGATCCTAGAGCTCCACCAAGCTCTGAAGCTGCTGCAGCAAGACAGAGGTGGAGGCGCAGTTCTGGTGTTCTGCAACAAGTCTTCCACCGTCAACTGGGTTGGATACTCGCTTGAAGAGATGGGGGTAAAGCATGCACGTCTCCAAGGGGAGATGCCTGCTGCTGTGCGTGCAGGAATCTTCCATTCCTTCCAGAAGGGCAACGTAGACGTGCTGATATGCACGGACATTGCCTCACGTGGCCTGGACACATCCAGAGTGCGCTTGGTGGTCAACTACGACTTCCCAGAATCCCACACGGACTATATCCACCGAGCAGGCAGAGTAGGGAGAGCAGGTGGTGTAGAGGATGGGGAGGTGCTCAGCTTTGTCACCCATCCCTGGGATGTGGAGCTGGTGCAGAAGATTGAGACAGCTGCACGCAGGAGATTGAGCTTGCCAGGCATGGAGTCCGACATACATGAACCAAAGCCCATAATGTTAAATGAAATGGAGTAGATGGTTTTTGTGTGTTTGTGATTTAAATGCAAAACATGGAACAGAATAGATTTTAAGGAATGGTTATTTGAAACTAAACTGCAGTCAGAACCTATAAAGCTCACGTTTAAGAATGATTTGTGTGTGCTTCACATCTAAATGTATTTTTCTGCCATGTACAAAATCTTGTCAACACCTTTATCTTTTGATTAAAGATGTTCTGCTTGTACAGATACAACATTTGTTGGGTATATTTCTGTTAACTGATGCAGTTTGTTTTTTTTCCAAAATGATTTCACCTCAAAGTAAAACCTAATAGCATATTCCTCCTGTGCAGTTGCATTTACTAACATGAAGAAGCATAAAAGATTATTGGCTGTCCAAGTCTGGATTGGAAAGCGTCTAATTTTTGAATCTATGTTCAATCTTTCTTTAGGAGCAGCAACAGTTTTGATAGGTTTGTCACGAATCTTATGTTGCAGACTTAAACCTCCTCAAAACATCTAAAAAACCAAAACTTTTAGTTATTACCTCATAAAAAGTTTTAAAATCTGTAAGAGCATTAAATTGCAGTTAGTGTTGCCCTCGTTTATGTATTGCATGTATTCTGCCACAAGGTGGCGGCATTTGGCTGATATTGGTTTGTAGAGGGTTTAAAGGTGATTACATGTGCAGGGGAAGGATTTATGCATTTCTTTATTTTGCTTTCTGCTCATTGCAATTAACTCGGCACAGTGTAAATAGCATATTATGTGCCCACCTAGTAGTTTGTGTGCTGTGGCTCCCTGCATGTTGTTTTGTGGTATAGATGTAGCTCATCAAACTAAAGCAGTAATCAAAGTGTTACAGCCGAATAGCTCTTATTGTGGTAGGTCTGCAGTACTTGAAAGGATTTCCCCCTCCTCTTTCATGTCTATGAGTACTTGTTGAAAGCAAAATGAAAAATTGCAGGCTTTTATTTTGTAATGCTCATTAATGTGCCTGGTGATTTAAGCTGGAGTCGTTGTGGAAGTATTGAGATTACAGGGGCAGACGGACCTCAGCGTGAGGCAGACAGAGTTAACGGCACTGAGGGTATCAAGGGGCTTCCATGAGAATGTTTGGTATTTAGCTGTAGTTGTCCTGCTCCAGCTGGGGTCGACATCTTTGAGCTTTTCCCCCCACGTAGGTTCACATTTCACCCCAGTTTGCCCTGACAACAAGAACCCGATATCCACTTACAACATGTGGAACAACTGCTGCCGATCCCTCAACTTATATTCTTGTTCAGTTTTAACCAGAGTGGCCCCTGTAAAGTAAAACACCTAAATACTGTGTAGAGTTTCCTTTATTTGTCTCGCTCCCACATAGTTTGCTGGGTCCCATTTCCCAAATGGCTTAAATCAGTGGTTTAAATCCATCATTTAAATCATGGAGCACATAGAGCTCCATTTGACCACTTTGATTAAGTGGGTTGAACTGGTATAACATAATAACACACATAACTGATTGTTTTTACATTATTTCCCAGTTCTAAAGCCGCTAAGCAGTTCAGTTGGTTATTAAAAAGAAACTTACTGGCTCAGCTCCTCACTTTAGTGGCGTGGCAGGCTGTGGGTGATGTGAATGTCAGTAAGAAGGCTGACAAACATTGATGATTCAGAACTGTGGCCTGGATGAAATTAGCAGTTCAGACATCCACTTTCATGACGTTGACTTAATACATAGTTCTTCATTTATTACTATTGTGACATATGTGCAGCTGTCTTCTGGGGCTTTGGGGGAACTTCACTGAGTTTAAGACAATAACTCAGTCAAGGTCAAAGGGACTGTGTGTATATAACCTGAGAGGTGATGGAGACAGTCTAAGATGCATTCTAGAAAATGTGCCAGTCCTATAAGCTCAAGCTCAATTTATTCTATCTGCTGATTTTCAGTTCAGTGTTCAGTCAAAAAAAAGTTGTTGTTTTTTTAGTGTTTCCTGATTTGGAAATTTGGCTCATATTGTGCAGTTTTGTACATCAGTATCAACATCTGCATATTTGTCTGCTGGAGAGAGAAAGTTTCTCTCAGTCACTGGTGTATGAACATGTTTTTGTGACCCTACAAGTGGTTTAGAGATCTTTTGCTGTCCACTATACTGCTTAGTCAGTCAGATATTTCCATTTTTTCAGTGTGGGAAGAAGCAGTAGCATTAAATATGAGAATTATCAACTAGGTACATTTCTTTCTGTGTTATAAAATCAAAGCTGAATATTTTTTCCCAAGCCCTGGACTTTCAAAATATTTGAGCAGGTGGTGATTTTTGCGTGTCTTTTTTCTTCTTCTTTTCTTTTCTTTTTAGTTTCTGGTTTTAGCACATCAATGTTACTAAAAAGAAGAAGAAAAAAACAGGAAGAAAAAGAACAGTGTGAAACTAACACTACATCACCGAACCCGATCCATTTTGTAGTTTAACTGGGTACAGATATGACCAAACGGACTACAAAACGCTTGGGCCATTAATAATGACGCATTTCCTTTTTGCCCCACCGTAGGATTATCCCCCCGTCCCCTCCCCTCCCCATTTACGCACACACATACACACGGTACCTCTGCTGCTCACACACTGTTGGCCACTTGGAAATTTCCCCTCAACGCGCAGGATATTTTAGTGCTGAGGAGCGGGGCTGCCGGCTAATGTGCATCTTCTCAGGGCTGACTTGCCTGAAATGCCCCAGCATTTGAAGGTAGGTTTACACCCCCCCCGTAATCGGTTTAATCTGGTGACCATCTCCCCCCCTGGCAGCAGCAGATCTGCCTGACCTCTCCGACCAAGCTTTTTAATCAAACTGCATGCTGTGTGTGAGCGTGAGAGTCCCAGCCCCTCTCTCTGCTCTGTGACTGCGCTGCATTTTTTTGAATGGATCTGCGGTCTTTCAGTCGCCGTGATGCTCATTTGAATTAACGAAACTTGTGGGGGTCTCTAATTGCTGACTTTTGTGGTTGCATCGCGTCTTTTTTTTGCTTTTTCTTTCTTGGGCGACTTGTACAGACCACATGGTTGCAGCAGGGGGTCGCCCGGTGAGTTTGGTTTTCTGTCTCTTATCTTTCCGTTTTCCCTTCTTTTGGCCTTTGAAGCCGCAGGATCGAGCGTGCGGTGAGTGCGGAGTCTAAAGAGTTCACGGAGCGGCTGGTATCCTAACTTGCATTGCACTGGCCGGAGAAAACCAACCTCCGCCATGTTTCCATGTCAGTCAAGCTGCCTCTCGTACGAGCAGGCAATTGTTTCCAACTTTTTAAATCATCGTTTTTCACGCGCTTGCGTCGGAAACGCACGCGTTAAAGGCTGCAACCTGTACGAAGCCAGTTACAATCGCCCAATATCACATGGCTTGCAGGAGGAGGGGAGCACCTATGTTTGAGCTGTAGGCGTTATTGCCACCTTTTATCCGTGGCTGAGTGCACGTGATTGCCATTCTTCTGGCTAACCTGTGATGGAAAATGCGAACCGCGACATCTTGGAGTAATGTATGGCTCCACCACTGCAGCAGGTTGTATGGACTAAATGGTGAGGATGAGTGGCTCAGCTGCCACACCCCTTCATAGAAAGACGAGGCTGGTTATGTTTTTACACTGATCACATGTTGTTGTTATTATTAGTATAGCAGGGAATTTGGTGATGTCTCCAAATGTCTCCTCTTGTTTGGCGTGGGACTGAGCTGGGAGATCACCTGTGTGTGTGTATGCTAAGTTTGTGTGTGAGGAAGGATCAGTGCAGGCCATCGCTGCTAGTATTAGAATGAATGGACCTATCAGCAGCCTGGGAATTTCAGTGAGCCTGGTGTGTAGACTGTGACAGTTCTCATGAGATTGCTGGCCAGGTATGGAGGAAGAGTTGCCTGTAATGCAAAAGTACTCTCCTGAACACCCCCCCCCCCCCCCCCCCCCTTAATACGCGCACACACACCTCCTTTGGATCCCCCCACACTTCCCTTGAATTCCTCCACCCCCAAAAGCTGCCCAGACCTTGGCTTGTCAGAAGAAGACACATGACCTTATTGGCTGCAGGCTTGAGCGTGTGTGTAGTGCCTCGGGAGAATGCTCTCCTGTGACTGTTCTTTTAGGTATGTTGAACATGAGTCTGAGCGTTGAGATCCGGCTGACAGTAGGACAGCGTACCCCGTGGGGAATGCTCGGCAGATATCGGATATGTTTGCCCAGAAATCTATAGTTAATAAAGAGGCTTCAGAAAAAGAGAATGTCATCGCTCCACCTCAAGTTGCCCTTTGTTAAAATCTGTCCTTTCAAAATGGCAGCTCTCGTCTAATGAGCCCAGCTTCTGTTTTCTCCTGCTTATCATTTATTCTTCTGTACATCTCTGAAAATGTCATTCTCCCGAGCCCCCGTACCTAGCTGTTACTATCTGCCGTCGCCGCTGCTTGGTATGCAGCTCTGGCACCGGCGACGACACCGATCATTTATTAAACTGGCCAAACTCACTCTGGCTTCCTTGACATAAAAGCAGCAATCAACAGCGTTTTCATTACATTAGCAACCGTGCTGACCTTTTGGAGAGTGTGTTTATGCATCCATTAGACTGTTAGTAGTTTTTCAAAGCGGAGTCCTGCACAAAACCCTTTTTTATTTTTCTTTCCTTCTGTTTTTTTCCCCCCAGTGTAACTGTTCAGTTATTTGGTGCTGAAGTCAATGGAGATGGAGTGAGAATTGCAGAGATGTTCTTGATAAAGTATTTCAATCTGCATTTCAAAGTATCACACTTTTATTTTAAAATTTATTTATTTATTTATTTTATTTTAAAGATTTCTCACATTAATAAATGCTGTATGTATAGGTTTAGCAGAAGTTTACAGCTGGAAGATTGCATGGAGTGTGATTATCATTTAGCTTGTCGATATCTGTTGGGGATTTTAACTTTCAATGGAAATGTGCTCCTGGCTTCAAGTCCAATCTGTGGGGTTACTCATCAGCTGCACATGGCTAGTTTATTGATTTTTCTCATTGTTCTGCATGAAATCAGGCCTCTGCTGTCACCTCTGACCACAGAGAGGAAGTAATGAGCAAACTGTAATGACACTTTAATGACACTGATAATGCAGCGGATTAGTTTGCGGTTGCCATGCTCAGTCAGATATTTCTGCTGTGCTCTGTTGGCAGGGGGAAAAGGAACATACAGAAAGTGTTATTTTCATGGTCAGGGTCAGCAGTGTTGTTGTGTACAGCAAGCAAGTTCAAGTTTTCTATTGAGATTTTCTTTGAGAGACTGCAAGAAGGGGAAAAAACACTCTGCTTGTGAACTGTTTACCCTTTAAAAAAGTATTTTATGCAAAAGCTGCAAAGTGAACAGACTATTTGTAATGCAGGTGGAGGGAAAACAGTGAAAGTTGTGCAACGAAAGCTACATTCATCAAACGTAATACAGCTTAGGTTCAAAATTCTGAAGCAGCAGCTATCCCTTGATGCTCGTTCCAGAGTCGCTCTGAGGTAAACCAGCTCTGGTTGCTTTTAATGCTGCACTGACCTCGTGAAGCTCTGTCTCTACTCTTCGTTTGTTTCCCAGGGCAGCTCCCAGCTGGTCACCTGGAATTAATTTTGTTGTTTTTTTGTTTTTTTTAACGTGGCTCTCAGGGCCTGAAACAAATGTTTGGAGCTGGTTGCCAGATTGGTAACTAAGAATCGCTGTTTGGCTGAGAAAGCTGGCAAAGATAATTGGTGTAGTTTAAACTGTTTGAGTGACAATGTTCTTGTGTGGGTATGCAATTATAGATGATCATTGTATGAATTACTTGTCAGGGTGAAAAGGGGAGTGATGACCTCAAGCATGCCTAATCACATTTGCAGTTTGACTCATGTCACATTGATGCTGTTGATTTGTTTAACGATGACATTAAAGCTTTTACTCCTGAGCATGCACTGAGCAGGCTTAGTCAGAATAGTCTCATCTACGTTCAGCGTTCGTACTTGGATACACGGCGCCTGCTTGCCCTTGTTTAGGGATGTCTTGTTGGGCTATTTTACATCACCTGTTCCTCTCTTTTGCTACTTTGTTAGTTCAGCCTCTGAACAACTAGACTAGCAGACTTGTTTTATCAGTCGTGAATGGTTGATGGTCTAACTTTCCGTCGCTTAAATCAGGTTTTTGTTTGACTTCAGCATGTCAGTATGTGTGGTGGGTCTCTTTGGTGAAACTAACATTTTGACATTTATCTTTGTCCTTTATGTTCTTCAGCCTCAGTGATGGAAAAAAGCATAGCTGTAACTTTGGATTCAGCTAATGAATCTTTTCAATCCATGGGTGCAAACGTGCTCTTAAATATAATCCTTGAGATTTATTGAAAAAGAGTGTTTTGTTTTTGTTAAGCAAAAGCTATTCAGTGGTTTATACTCCCTACATACCTTTCTTTGAAGCTCTTTGCACTGTTACTGGTGGAGTCCAACATTCCTGCCTTGTATTCTAACAACCTGTGTATGCATAACTGCAGTGTGAGTTTGCATGGCTGCTCTGTAAGCAAATAAATCAGTTCTTCTGCTGTGTTTATGACAAATTAAATACTCGAGGAGCGCTTGCAGCCCACATTAAACCCCACCTGATGCTGCTGTGTAAATCAAAGTGTTAAATCAGATAGGCCTGACCCAGTGACAAGATTTACAACTTTAATGTTTCATGTCAGCTCACAGAGTTCATCTGAAAAGGCTCTGTAGGGCCATTTTCATGGAGGCAAGAGCTTCAACATGGCCGTATGGCTGACCTGCACACAGTAGAGGCAGAAGTGTCTGTTCCATTGTTATATTTCTTGTTCTGCGGTTCTGGATACAACTGCAGAATTCCCTCTATGTATAATAATTATATAATAATTTTCAGTTCAATTTAAATCAGTTTTTTTTTTATGTGCTAAATAACAACAGCCGCCACCTTAAGGCGCTTTATATTTTAAAATAATGAACCCAAAATAATAAATAAATATAATTTTATTTATATAGCACCTTTCTAGACAGAATCACAAAGTGCTGCACATAAGATAACGAGTCATAAATTTTCTTTTTTTTTTTTTTGAAAAAAAAGAAAAAAAAGAAAAGACAGAGCTGTAGCAGATCAGAGGTGTAGGCTGGTGCCAGTCCGTGCACAGCTCTGTAAGTCAAGACCAGGATCTTAAAATGGACTCTAAATTCAACAGGAAGCAGTGGAAATGAGATAGCAACGGTGTCACATGTGAATACTTAGAGGATTTTGTCAAAAGCCTAGCTGCAGACGATCCAGAGAACCTTTGCTTAGACACATAAACAGCGAGTTACAATAGTCCAAGCACGAGGAAATAAATGCATGTATAGCAATCTCCAGTTCAGAGCGAGATAAAATCTGGCTTAGCTTAGCCACATTTCTTAAATGATAAAAACAAGACCGAACCAGAGATTTCACATGACCATCCAATGTGAGGCTACATCCACACGTACCCGGGTATTTTTGAAAACGCAGATTTTTCTATGCGTTTGCACCTTTCGTCCACACGTAAACGGCGTTTTTGGTCACTGAAAACGAAGATTTTTAAAAACTCCGGCCAGGGTGGATATTTTTGAAAACTCCGTTTTTGTATTTACGTGTGGACGAGGAAAACGGAGAAAACGCAGCGTCAAAGATGTGCGCCTTTTTTTTTTGACGTCACACTGTGCGCCACGTTATTGTTTCGGTGAAATGAATTTCTACAATACTGTTACTTCTACTCTCTGCGGTGTTTAAATGCTTACATATACACACAGTTACTGTCCCTCCACACATACGACTTGGTTCTGCTTCTATGCCCCAGTTTTGTTTACTTTTTCCCACCGAGGCTTCTAGACTTCTGATTGGCCAACATTTCTACACGGTTAGGAATATATCACCACCTGTTGCTTTGGCATGTTCCTAGCAGCGTTTTCCTTCATTTCTGCATTTACGTGTGGACAGGATTATTTTTTTAAAACGAAAACGGAAAATCTCCGTGGAATGTAAGCGTTTTGGGCCGTATCAATCAGGATGCACAACTCTGTGAAAACGACTGAAAACGCTAGTGTAGACGCGTTTTCAC